CCTTGAACCCTAAACCCTAAACCTGAACCCTGAACCCTGAACCCTAAACCCTAAACCCTAGGGTTCAAAAAAACAAACCTGAACCCTAAACCCTTGAACCCTGAACCCTAAACCCTAAACCTGAACTCTGTACCCTATGCCCACAGCCCTACATCTTTCAGCCCTGGCCCCCGCACCACAGCGTTTGGAAGCAGTTTAGGCAAGAGGGGCCTGAAGAATTGACAAAGTAATTCCTGAAAATTTTTGAGTATAAGCAGAGTCCCAAAAGCCCTATTCTCTTCTCATGTTGCAGTTTAGGGTTTCGGGGTTAATATTCGACGCCTTGTCTTCCCCCATACCAACCCGACGGAGCCCTTCAAGCGAAACATCGCCCTTGGGTTTCTCCAGCTATATTTAACCCGTAACCAAAACGCCGTGAATACGCGGTGAGAACCATTAGGGCGCTTTGAATCGCCCTGTGTCTCCTGCTTTCCGAAAACCAATAAGCCCTAAACCCGAAACCCTAAACCCTAAACCCCTAAACCCTAAACCCTAAACCCTAAAACCCCTAAACCGCAAACCTGTTGCCCTTTTTCAGCACCCTCTCCGACTTCACCTCCTCGGAGCCCTTGGCGCTGAAGTTCTTGGAAGAGCTCTTCATTGAGGTCGCGCAGGTTTAGGGTTTGGGGTGTCGGGTTGAGAGTTTCTAGGGCTTTGCAAGATTGTGCATGGTCTTATAAGTCTGTTTCATCCCAAAACCCTAAACCCTAAGCCCTAGACCCTATAAGGGTTTAGAGTTGCGCTCTTGGGGGACCTGAACTCTAAAGCCCAAACTTACCCCCGAGCCCGAAATCCTCAGAAACACCAGGCCTGAACCCGAAAACATGAAATTTAGGGTTTCGAGTTTAGGGTTTAAGGTTTGAAGGTTTAGGGTTTGGGGGTTTAGGGGTTTCGGGGTTTAGGATATGAGGTTTCAGGAAGCAGATGCATGCGGCGCGCTTGTTCAAAATTCTCGCGGTCAAAGCCCGAAGCTCGGGCGATTTTGAAGTATATTATGCTTTTTCATACAAGGAGTTCCATGTTATTTGTGAGGGCCCCCATTCTCATAGTGGCCAGGGCTTGAAGCTCCACCACGAAACAGTGCCAGCCTTCCAAGATCCAGCTTGAAAGAAGGGTCGCTTGGGGGTTTTTAGGGGGTCCTAAACCCTAGACCCCAAACCCTAAACCCTAAACCCCTCGACCCCAAACCCTAAACCCCAGACCCCTAAATTAGGGCTGACTCTGAACCCCTGAGCAGCCAGCTGATAGGGATCGTTATGAGCCTTAAACCCTCGAAGCCCCAGACCCTGGGCCCTCTAGGGTGGTTCTTCGAAGTACATCTCTCCAAAGTAGGCTCTTTCCATGGAGGTAGCTTCCACATGCTAAAGCCTAAACCCTAAACGCTAAAACCTAAACTCTACTCCCTACTAAACCCTAAACCCAAAACTTTAGGGCCCCTAAACCTTACACCCTAATTCCTACTAAATCCTAAACACTAAACCCTAAACTTTAGAGCTCTAAACCCTAACCCCTAAACCCTAATCCCTAAGCCGACAACCTTAAGCTTTAGGGCCCTAAACCCTGAACACGAACCCCTGTTGAAAACACCTCCAGAACAACCGCTCGGACCCCTCCGTCGAAGGCATCTTCGAAGCATGGCCTTCTTCAAAGTGCTAGAAAACCCAGAATAGTGCCCCAGACCCTAAACCCCAAGCCCTGTACCACCAGGCCCGGAAAACCATTATAATCGGAAGAGGGTTTTGGAGTATGTTATATTTTCGCTATAAGAAGGAGCCCTAAATACTAACCCTAAACCCTAAACCCTAAACGCTATCCCTAATCCTCAACCCTAAATACTGACCCTAAACCCTAAACCCAAAAAGCTCACCCTAAACCCTAAACCCTCAATGCTGGTCAATCTGGGTTCCAAACCCTAAACCCTAAACCCTAAACCCTAAACCCTGAACCCTGAACCCTAAACCCTAAACCGTATCACCGACCCGGTGGGAGGCTTGGGACAACGAAGCGGAGGACCGGCCGAGGGTGAGCTCAGGTAGTTGTCAAAATTAGGGTTTAGGGTTTAG